AATCCCAAACCTTTTCCATTTTTGCGGACTTTACCCTAACCTTCATTTTGTGCCAGCTACAATCCTAAACCTTTCAGAAATATGTACCGAGAGTCCAGATGGATGGAATCCATCCAATTGACCGTTAGTTGACCAAGGAAGTCAAAATTTAACCAATTTTTGACCAATTAAAAAGGGTAGAAAGGTAAAAGTCACTTAACACTATAATAAAATAATTAAAATAAATAACAAAAACAAATAAAAATAAAAATAAAAGGAAATACTATTCATCTCCTTCTTCACCCACCCACCCACCCCACCCCACCCCAATCCCAAACCTTAAATTTATCTTCATTCCCTCACTTCCTTTCTCTATATTTCACTATTTCTCTCTTATCCTACCCTATTCAAATCTTTCTCCCAACTCTATACACTCCTCCTTACAAATGGACTCTCGCCGCTTGAGAGTGCCGAGGCCATGTGTCACAATCCCAATTTACTCATTTAACTCTATGTATAAAGATTTCAAAATTTTGTATACTTCATGAAGAGAGAAAATTTTTGGCAATTTGTAGAGTATGGAGTAGGCAATCATCAATAAATATAAGATAATTGAAAATTTTCTTATATACTTGGTTACATTGCAAAAAGTATATTAGAGACTAGTAGATATACAAAAGTTGCATTACAAAAGTTTCACTTCACAAAAGTTGCACTATGCAAAAGTCGCACTACCATCTTGCTACTATAACCAACCGATTTCTACTAATATTTATACTACATATCAAAGATCACCAGAACATATTTATTCTCCAGAAAAATCATTTTAAAATAAGTACGTCAAAGTGGTGGCCTCGAAGTAGTCTATATAATAATGGGATCCCACAAAATGATGGAAACCCGCAAATTCTGGATACGTCATCCATGTATCGACTTCTTTGACATACATGTAATAGGTCATCCTCAGAAATCATCCATTCAGCCGAGGTAAAATCAATATATTCAATAGGGATCATCTACAAGAAAATTAAAAAAAAATGTGAATATATTTATTCAGCGATTAATCTATACAATAATCTTCCTTTTATTTGAATAAATAAGGAAAATAATGGGCCCCAATTATAGATGTTCAATCCTACACATGCGCGCAATATGAAAATAACAATATATGAGCTCATTAGGCAATTACACCAATTTGGTGTAAGATCAATAATATCAATCATTATCCAATGCAATGCCAATATTCAATGCAATGTCAATATTAATGGGTAGAATCTTGGATCTATAATTGATTTGAAAAGCAAGAAGTAATCCAATAAACATAATTGCAATAAATATATTGAAATAAAAGTAAGAATAGAGTACTCACCTTCAAGTTGCAAGACAAGTAAAGTGCTATCTTTATAAAGTTACTTGATTTTCGTTTTTGTTGTATGCATTTCCATTTCTCACCTTCTCACCTATTTATAGTAATAATTTAGAATTAAATTTAGAATTAATTTATTTTTTCTTAATCATTATTTTGCCACTTTTTACCCTATGCCATTTGTCAATATAGTATTTAGAGTGGCAAAGTGATATGTGTATGGTGCCACCTTATACCATTTGTTATTTTCATATTTAGAGTTGCGAGATTATTTATTGAGAGTGGTCACCTTATACCA